TCCGATCGGAATGTCCTGCGATCCTGTACGATCCTATAGGAATCGTATAGGGATCCTAAAGGAATCCCATGCGATCCTGTAGGATCCTATAGGAATCGTATAACGATTGCATTGGAAATCCTATGCGACCGTGTCGGACCCGAAAAGAATGTTGCAGGGATTGTATAGGAATCCCATGCGACCCTGTAAGATCCTATAGGGACCGTATGGGAATCCCATGCGATCCTACAGGATCCTATGGGAATCGTATAGGGATTCTATAGGAACCCCATGCGATGCTATGGGATCGTGTGGGGATCATGTAGGGATCGCAGCGGGGATCGTATAGGAATCCAATGCGACCCTGTAGGATCCGATCGGGCTCCTATAAGGCTTGTATCGGACTCCCATGCGATCCCAATAGGATCCTGTAGGAATCCCACTGATATTACATAGGAACCCCATGCGATCCTATAAAAATCCGACACGGATTCTAAATGGAGCCTATGCGATCCTATAGGATCCTATAGGGACCCTGTGCGATCCTATAGGACATTCGGGATCCTATAAGATCCTGCGGGGATTCTATAGGAATCCCATGCGACCCCATAGGATCCTATAGGTATCCTAAAGGGACTATATAGGAAACCCATGCGATCCTATAGGATCCCACAGGGCTCCTATATGGATCCCATGCGATCCTATAGGATCCTATAGGGATCCTGTAGGATCCTGTGGGGATTCTATAGGAATTCCATGCGACCCTGTAGGGGCCCATACGAATCGTATAGGGAGTCGATCGGGATCCCATGCGGTGCTACAAGATTCTATTGGAATCCCAGACGGATTGTATACAAATCCCATACGATTCTATAGGATCCCATAGGAATCCTATAGGGAGCTTCCTGTGAGACCAAGACCCCGGTCCTCGAGAGGGGTGTGCTGGTTGCTGGTTGCTAGTTGCTCGGGGGGGGTCCTCGGTTGCTGGTTGCTGGTTGCTGAGGGGGGGCCCAGGGCAGCAAGGTCACGTGTCAAACAACAACAACAACAACAACAACAACAACAACACCAACAACAACAACAACAGCAACAGCAACAGCAACATAAACAGCAACAACAACAACAAATCGCGAAACGCAAGCGCACATACTTAATCATCATTTCGCGCTCCTGGACCACGCCTCCAAGAAAGCCAGAATAGGAGCACGAATCACGAACACACGCGGCTCTTAAATTTCGCACTCCGAAGCCGCGAGGCCAAGAAAGCAAGAACAGAAACAGGAGCGCGAGCAATCTCGCGCTCCAGGACCGCGCAACCAGAGAATCAGACCAGGAGCACGAAGCACGAGCGCCAAGGACACTTCCATTTCGCGCTCTGGGACAGCACGACCAGGAAGGCCAAGACAGAAACACACAAAAACGAACGCAAATGACACCTCCGTTTTGCGCTGAAAGCCGCGCGACCAGCAGCATCAACAAAGAGGCGCCGAAGACCAAGACAGAAACACAAAAACGAACGCGAGTGACACACCCATGCTGCACTCAGCGCCGCGCGACCAACAACACAAACAACAACAGAAGCGCCGCACGAACGCGCCCGCCGGGTAGCTGTGGGCCAGGCCTCGTCCGGGGGGGGAGGGGGGCCACGAGCCGCGCGAGGGGGCCGCACCTGTGGCCCCTGGGCGGGCCGTGGTCGGGGGTGGCCCGTGGCCCGTCCTGGCACGCGAGCGGCTTCTGCTCCCGGTGGCCCACCGGCCCGCGGCCAGGTCGTGGCCGATGGGGCCCCCGCGAACGAGCCGCGGCCCGCAGCCTGCGCAGCGAGGGATGCACCGAGCAACCCCGGAGAACACACGGCGACGAACGGTGCGGAGGGAACGGGAGAGAGACGGCGACGACGCTCCTCGGGTGGAGCAGGGACCGACCGTCCCGGCATGCCCGCAGGCCTACCACGGCGTGTCCTGAGAACCCAGACGTGTTCGAGCAACCAAATAAAGATAACAATGTGTTTAGAACGTCGCCCTGACTCCTGATCCGCCCTACTTTGGGCGATTTCGAAAGTAGGGCGGAAATTTCCGCCCTACTTTTAAGGCCCCTTTGAGCGTCGATTTCCGCCCTTGAGGCTCCTTTGGCGTCGATTTCCGACACAATTTTAGGTCGGAAAATCATCCAAAGTACGGCGGATCAGGAGCCAGGGCGGTCCGATGTGCTAAATCAAGAGAGTCCCAGCCAGATATGTTCTAAGAACGCTTCGTGCAACCCAAACAAGTCTTAGACCCTTCATGGGTGGGCCTGTGGGCGAGCCAGGACGCCTCGCCACTGCTTGATCGGGGGGTTATGCAAGGAGGGGAAACGTCATAAACATGAACTGTTGGCGCTCCGCGCGGATTTCTTGGATCCACGCGGAGCGCCACAAGTTTATGTTGATGGCGTTCTGCCTTCTTCGAGGTTGCCCACTGGAGCCTCCACTGAGGAGGGTGATCCGAGAAGCTCCCAACAAAATCCACAAAATGAGCCCAAGGGTGGCCCCAATATACTCCCAGGCGGCCCGCGGCACAGGGCGAAGCCCTTCTCGGACAGCCAAGGGCCCCGCATAGGTATACCTCCGCGGTGGACGTCCCGACCTCCACTCTGGACTGGTGTTGGGTCGGGCGTGTCCTCCTACACGCGGACCTTGGACGAAACATTGAACACTGTCAAACAATAGTCAAAACTAAGAATAAGCAAAAGAAGCTTTAAATCGTCCCTATCTTTGAATGTACTCCCTGTAGGGGGACATGCCTGGTTCAAGATTAGTGCGCTCCATTCTCGGCGTTGCCCTGACAACCTACCAGACCACCCCAACCCAGCCCGAAGACCCGAATCTCGAGTTTGGGAGGGGGGCGGGCACGGGCTTCATGTGTCTTTTTTCCATGTTCCCTGGCCCCCGCCCACTGGAGGGGAATCGAGGCCTTCGGGTTGGGTTAGGGTGGTTTGGTGGGCGGCGTCTTCCAATCTTCTTCGATTGCGAACTTTTGGAACGTCTGGAGGCTCTGGGACGGACCGGCGGATGCAGAGTGTTCGAGGACGAAAAAAGCTACAAAGACGAAGAAAGCTATACCGTGCAGGTCTTCTGCTTCGGGGGGGGTCGCCTGTCCTGGGCGGCTGGGAAGTCCATACCCCGACGCTCTGCCATCGGGGGGTCTGGACTTTCCAGCCGCCCTGGGATCGGGCGCGCCCCTCGGCGGACTTTCGTTCGGCCCACACCGCTGATTTCGTCCTCCGATCGGGCGTGGACTAGCCTGGCTCAGCGCAAGCCCGGCTCAACCAGTTTAGAACGAACTGCGATGCAATTCTGGGGGGCCGTCCCAAGCCCGGCTCGGCGAATGTGTACGGCTACCTCCAGGGCCGCGAGCGACGTCCAAAACGCGAGCGACGCCCAAACACAGCTCAGCCCAAAACTGACATTGCAGAAGCCTGCAGGATCTGGCACTCTGGTTTGGCCGCGTTCTGCGCTGAACCCCGTTACATTCCCGCTGATCCAAGCTAGGGGGTAACTAGAGGCCTCCGAGAGATGGGGTCCGAGTAGATGGGGTCAGAAGATCGCGCCGCATCGCCGATGCATCGCCGATGTATCGGCGATGCACGTCGGCGATGCATCGGCGCCATCGGCGTGGAAAAAACTGAACTCCACATCAAGCCACACCGCCGATGCGTCGCCGGTGCATTGGCGATCCTCCGACTCCATCCGCTCGAACCCCATGGTGCGAGGCGGGAAGTTATCCATATCCACCGCCTGGGAACCGACGCCCTGGTGCCCTAGTGGGCGGTGGACATGGACATGTTTTGGCCCCCGGGGGCTCCAAAATGTCCATATCCACCGCCCGCCGCCGCTCCGAAAACTGACCCTGCAGGCGGTGGATATGGATAGATTCCCGCCTCGGACAGCGTGGGAGGCCTGGAACACCGGCGTCGGGACAATGACAACCAGGGCTGAACCTAAACGGTGTCTTCCGTCTTCGCTTTTTCCTCGTTCTCCCTCGTTTCGTCCTCCCTCCGCCCTCGCCGCAAAACACGAAGCCGGCACGAGAACGGCCCCCGGAATCGCCAGAACGCCGCTGAGGCCCAGCCCCGGCGACAGCTGCGGCCGCCCGTGCCGCCGCCGCAGCGGCGACGAGCGACCCAGACATCCGACGCATCGATCTTGTCGAGACACGGCCCTGACTCCTGATCCGCCCTACTTTGGGCGATTTCGAAAGTAGGGCGGAAATTTCCGCCCTACTTTTAAGGCCCCTTTGAGCGTCGATTTCCGCCCTTGAGGCTCCTTTGGCGTCGATTTCCGACACAATTTCAGGTCGGAAAATCATCCAAAGTACGGCGGATCAGGAGCCAGGGGGGCCACCGACCGCCCGACCACTTCCCCAGGACCGGTTTTCCACCCCGACCCTGACTCCGGATCCGCCCCACTTTGGGGAAATTCGTAAGTGGGGCTTGGAATTGCCGCCTTGCTTTTCAAGCCCCGCTGATGCCAAGTTCCGCCCTACTTTTCTGTTGTTGTTTCCCCCCTACTTCTGTGGATTTTCGCCCCATTTTATGCTGGGTGCAGAAATTTCCGCCCTACTTTTTCGGCTTCTTATAGGTGGATTTCCGACACAATTTTAAGTTTTTTAAAAAAGCCCAAGTAGGGTGGATCTGGAGTCAGGGCGAGTCGTTGTTTGCCGGTCCCGAGGCCCGGCGAGGACCCCGGGAGGCCGAAAATGCCGCAAAACCTCTGCCTCCCCAGACCCCCGACGTAATGATTTTTTCATTACGTCGACCCCCAGAGGTCCCGACCCTTTCCCCATGACCGGCTTTGCATCCTGAGTCGTTTTTTGACGCTCCCGAGGCCTGGTGAGGGCCCCCAGAGGCCGAAAATTGGGAAAAACCTCCCGTCATGATTTTTTCATTGCTCGAGGGGGTCTGGGTCTCGACTTCCTCGAGGCGCCCCCGATGCCTGGGGAGGCCGCGGCGGCGGCGGGCTCGCGCGCGGCGGAAGGGCCCGCGCGTCAGCAGCCGTGCCTGCCTCGGCCGGCGCGCCCCGAGCGGGGCTCGGCCCGCGGGGCGGGGGCGGGCCGCCGGCCCGGCCGGCCCGGGCCTCCCACGCTAAAGGGAAATTAGGACACACAAATAAATACACACAAATAAAATTAGTCCCCATATTTTCTCATATTTTCTGGGTTTTTGTCTTCCCCCCCAATTCCCATATTTTCCCATATTTTCCTGGGAATCGAGGATTAATTGTGTCTGTGTGTTTTTTTCCCTCCTGACACGCCGCTCGCGGGCTCCGCTGCCGGCAGGCTCGCGCGACTGCGGCGTGCGGGCGAACGTGAAAGGGCCCTGGGACATACGAATAGATACACACACAACCCCAGAGATCCAACGCATTGAAAAAATCAAGACGGAGGTTTTTCGCAAGTTTCGGCCTCAAGGGGCCCTCGCCGGGCCCCGGGACCGTCAAAAAACGACTCGGGATGAAAAACCGGTCCCGGGGAACGGGTCGACCCTGGCTCCTGATCCGCCGTACTTTGGATGATTTTCCGACCTAAAATTGTGTCGGAAATCGACGCCAAAGGAGCCTCAAGGGCGGAAATCGACGCTCCAAGGGGCCTTAAAAGTAGGGCGGAAATTTCCGCCCTACTTTCGAAATCGCCCAAAGTAGGGCGGATCAGGAGTCAGGGGAGACCTCCGGGGGCCCCGTATTGAAACAATCACGACGTCGGATCTCTGGGCACGCCGCTCGCGGGCTCCGCTGCCGGCAGGCTCGCGCGACTTCGGCGTGCGGGCTAACGTGAAAGGGCCCTAGGACATACGAATAGATACACACGACTATAGCAGGATTCCCTATATGTTTTTTCGCATTTCCTGGGGCCCTGGGACACACGAATCGTTGTTTTTCGGTCGCGGCCGCAAGCGAAGGCGCAGGCGGAGTCAGAAGCGGTCCGGGGCGCGGAAACGAGCCTAATTAGCTACTGGGCGCGCCGCAAGCCGGCCAGGCCAGCTCACAAAGCAGCTGCTGTGCCGCGCGGTGAGGCTGACAGGCTAAGGGCACCCAGGGAGCACGAATAGATACACACAGCTATAGCAGGAGTCCCCATATTTGTCCGCATTTCCTGGGTTCTCGTCTTCCCGCCCGCTTCCCATCTTTTCCTATATTTTTTCTGGGATATCGACGAGTCATTGTGTTTCTGTGTGTTTCTTTCCCTCCTAACAATAGATACAGTCGGCCTTGATTGGACAGGGCACGCGAGAGGACACGAGACCCTTCCGAGGGCCACGTCGCCATGGGAGTGTGAGAAGGCACGCGTCGCGAGGCACAGGACGCAAGGGTACCCTTGAGCTGGCAGGGTCGACCTACAGTGTTCGGCCTGACCTTAGGAACGAAAAATAAGGAACGAAGCCCCTTTTTTCCAAGTAACTCTATTAAGTCCGAAGGCACGCCAGAGGGGTTCGCCGCCAAGAAGGCAGCGGAACGCATGCAAACCAAAGGAACGACCGAGCCCCTTTTGAAAAGCAAGTGTTCCCTATTCAAGCCGGACCCTGTACTAATCTGGGCCGACTAAGAAGGAGGAGGAGGAGGAGGAGGAGGAGGAGGAGGAGGAGGGGGGGGAGGAGGAGGAGAGAAACGAGCCAGATCCACGGATCGGGGAAACTGCCCCCCCGAAGCAGGGCGCCAGCGCCGGCTGACTTGGCGACGGAGCCGGTCGAGAACCAGGAGCAGTCGCCCAGCCACGCGCCTCGATCCGACGAAGGCGAGGAACACGACAGGATGTAGGAGGCAGGAAGGACGGAGGAGGAGGAGGAGGACGGAGGAGGAGGAGGAGGAGGAGGAGGAGGAGGAGGAGGAGGAGGAGGAGGAGGAGGAGGAGGAGGAGGAGGGAGGAGGAGGAGGAGGAGGAGGAGGAGGAGGAGGGAGGGAGGGAGGGAGGAGGGAGGGAGGGAGGGAGGGAGGGAGGGAGGAGGAGGGAGGAGGAGGAGGAGGAGGAGGAGGAGGAGGAGGAGAGGAGGAGGAGGAGGAGGAGGAGGAGGAGGAGGAGGAGGAGGAGGAGGAGGAGGAGGAGGAGGAGGAGGAGGGAGGAGGGAGGAGGGAGGGGGGAGGAGTCTTGACCCAGAATGGCGGCTCGCCTTTGGACCCCTGGGGCCGTCGAAGAGCGACCCGTGCGCAGGAGGCCCCGGGGCCCACGCACCGAGCATCATGACGGAGCCAGAGGCCTGCGGACGACGACGGCCACGCCGACGCCGACGAGGACGCCACCAACGACAGCATGACGAAGCCACAGGCCTGCGGACGACGGCGGCCGCGCCGGCGCCGACGCCGACGCCACCGACGACGACGACGAGGGCGAGAACGACGACACCGGCGATGCCGCAGACGACGCCGACGCGGACGACGGCGCCGAGGGGCTGTGGGGGGGGGGGGAATGTGAGGGAGGGGCCGGCCCAGTGGGGTGGGGGGGGACACATCGAGCTGGAATCGGATTTCAACTCCTCCTCCTCCTCCTCCTCCGACTCCTCGATGCTCGAGCACGGCTGAGCGCCCCCGCCCAGCCAAGCGATCAAGCTCGTGACGGACACGGGGCCTGGCGGCGGCGGACGGCCGGGCGCGGCGGTCTCGGCCACCCCGGAGCGAGAGGGGACGGGGAGATGCCCTCCCCGTCGTCGCCGTTCCCCACGCACAACGATACATCATCGGTCATACTGAGGGAGCCAAACTCTATACACCGACGCTTTTTTCGGGCCCCGCACTGGATCTCGCACAGGAGAGCTGCTCCTGGTGTATGCGGGGTCCTGGTGTATACATTTGTCCTTGTTTTCCCAGGTAAACGGGGAAGCAAGTATACACCACACCACCCCGACGTCGTCCCCGACCCTCAAAAAGTCTGGGGATTGAAAAACACCCCGCCACTGGCAATGTATATGCTACAGTTCCCGATGATTGGTCAGACTCTCCTCTCCCACGACTCTGTCCAGAAGATGCTCGGCCCTCTCCGCGTACTGTCTGCTCACACCCCGGATGTCAAAAGTTGGTCTGTTCTATGTGTCTGTTACCTTATGGAAGCTTCGATCCTTCAAAATTGGGCTGCCGCTGCCGCGTGGGCCTCATTGTAAGATCGGCGCTTCGCTCCCGTCATTCAGAATGGCACTCTCGCCACAGCGCGGGCCACTTTTCTGGATCTGAGTCCCTCCTCATCCTTGTCGCCACCCTCCTTTCCCCTCCTCGGCCTTCTCCTAGTCCTCCTGCTAATCCCGCTCCTTCCACTCCAGCTCCTGGTGCTGCTGCTGCTGCTGCTGTTCCCTCTCGTCCTCCTCCTCCTCCTCCTTCCTCATCCCTTTTTCCTCCTGCTCATCCTCCTGCTCATCCAACACCTCCTCCTCCTCCTCCTCCTCCTCCTCATCATCATCATCCGATGCACGCAGCTCCTGTTTTCCAATTATGCATTATACAAGGGGTTCCTCTTGGAATTCCAGGTCCGCTACGACATGCGTCGGTGGATAGAGAACGTCAGCGCAATGGAAAGGGATGGGTGGGTGGGGTAGGATGTCAGATATGGCGCGAGCGCACCTAGCTTGCCCCTCACCCCTCTCTCTTTTCCCCCGTCCCTCCCCCTCCCGTCCTCCTCCTCCATACTCCTTCTCCCTCCCTCTTCCTCTGCCATCTTGGGCCCTCCCGTCGTCTCCGCCTTCATCCTCCTCCTGTTGATGATCGAGGGCGAAGAGGACGAGGGGCGGAGCACGAGGATTGCCCCAGTACTCCCTCCGCGCCCTTCTTTCACCCCCCTCTCCTCAGAACCCCTGCTGCAGCCCCTGCTCCGGCGAACAGCCGAATGTCCCTCCTTCTTGCCCTCGTTCTCCTCCTCTGCCAGCCTGCTGGCAGTTTCTCTCCAGGCTGCCGAGACGACCAGGCCAGGTTCGAACCCTAGGTCTGGGTTGGTCGAACTGGAGATAGTCATGCCAACCATCTCCGCTGGGTCGTGGCAAGCGGTGGCGATGGGCGATCACCTGTGGTGGCGCAGCCAACTACCCTGATCCGCTAAGGCGTACAGTCAGCCCGTATAATAAGGACGCACGATGAGGATGCAAGGGCATTGGAAGGCCATGCCGCCATGCCGACACTGCGCGGGCGGGGCGCGGCCAGCGAAAGCGGCCAAGGATGGGCCGAAGGGGAAGGATGCAATGGCAACCTTGGACAACTGCTCATCCTTACTCCGCGGGTCGACAATACAGTCAAAACTTGTAGTAAGGACGCGCTGCAAGGACGCAAGACCCTAAGACAGTCCTTGGACGCCCCAGTTGAAGCTTTTCTAGCGGCGCACTGCCGAACAAATCTAAGGACACAAGGGTGCCTCTGGGAAGCTGATCCGTCCTTACTATGGATTTTCACTGTAGTCTCCTTGTCACGACTCCCTGGTGCAGCACGAGACCACAGGCACCGCACGTTCCGAGCGGGTACCTCCCCCCTGGTGCCTCCCTCCGCGGCCGCCCTCCTTACTGCAGGTGCTTTGTGTACTAGGCCGCTCCCCGTTCTAGTTAGACCTCGTTGTGCTCCAGGTCGCTGCGACCAAGCAAGAGCCCTGGTGAAAGACCCAACCATATGCCGCTGCGAGTACCGCAAGGCAGGTGAGAGGAAGGAGGGGAAAAAGCACACTACGAGTACCGCGCAGGGGGCTCCTCACCAAAAGGATGGAACTCGGGGCAGCACGGATAGGAGGCAACGGAAGGAGCAGGAGGTTCCTCTGGGGCGGGTAAACGCAACCGTCGTGAGCACTCTGTGGGGCCACGAAACGTGTGAGCGGTGTGTCGTATGAGAGGGTGCGCCCCGGCCACGCAACATCTAAGGGGTGTGCACATATGGGGCGGGGCCGCGGCCGGGCCGCCATGCGACCGCTGCCACTGGGGCCTGCAGTGGAGCTCCCCATGTGGCCTCGACACGTGTGAGGGGTGTTGTGAGTTGTGACTGGTGATGGGGATGATGACGACGAATGGGACAACGATGATGAGGATCATGATTACGTTTCCGACGATGCTGATGCCAGTGCTGATAACGATGGTGAGGACGATGACGGTGATGACGCTGATGACGATGACAGTGCGGATGAAAAGGATAAGGAAGAGGAGGAGGAGGAAGCAGCAGGAGGAGGAGGAAGGCAGAGGAGGAGGAGGAGGAGGAGGAGGAGGAGGAGGAGGAGGAGGAGGCAGGGGGAGGCCGCGAGAGATGCGGAGAGCGCTGCCGATGCACCACGAGGGCCCAGCACCAGACAGGACGGCCTGGGCAAGAGCGGGGGCGCAGCTGGTGCGCGCGCCATCGAGGCCTGGGGCCTGCCTGCCCCCCTCCCTGACTCCTGATCCGCCCTACTTTGGGCGATTTCGAAAGTAGGGCGGAAATTTCCGCCCTACTTTGAAGGCCCCTTTGAGCGTCGATTTCCGCCCTTGAGGCTCCTTTGGCGTCGATTTCCGACACAATTTTAGGTCGGAAAATCATCCAAAGTACGGCGGATCAGGAGCCAGGGCTCACCACCACCGGAGCGCTCCGCGCGCCGAGGTGGGGCCGGGCCCCACGTCCTGCCAGGAAGCCCGCGCGGCCCCGCACACCCGCTACGGTGGAGGCCTGCGACAGGGATGCCTTCGACAAGGCCCCCGGGGTCTCGCGACCGACAGGCGGCCAGACGTGGGCCACCCACCTCGAGCTGAAACAAGAAGGACTGCGCCAGGGCCCGGGCCCCAGGGAGGCGTTCCTCGTCCAATGCCGCCGCCGTGGAGCCAGCCAGCAGCGGGAGCCACAGTTTCGCCGTGTGGGCGGCGATCACAGGCGGGCCTTTACGCGAGATGGCGTGGCAACCTTGCGCGGTGGCTTATACGCGGGCCGCCGGTGCGGCACGCCACACTGGAGACGGAGGCGCTTACACGCAAGACCTTACGCGGGCAGCCAAAGTCGCCGCATTTGGATCCGTTGTTCTCTGTCGCTCGTGTGCCACCTCCGCCGGCGGCGCCGGTGGCCAGCACAGTAGGGGCCCGACCACAGGAAGCCTTCCGCAAGAGGCCCAAACCCGGAGACCCCAGGGCGCCCATCGATTTCTGAGGAGGAGGAGGAGGAGGAGGAGGAGGAGGAGGAGGGGCGTGGGAGCGTCACGCCTCTCAAGGGCAAGACCTTTGAGCCCCGAGAAGCCCAGGGCACCCTGCGGGGCGAGCAGGGCAGCCCTGGGCACGGGGCCTCGCCACTTGCGGGGGGGGGCGAGGCGGGGCACCCCGGGGAATGGGGCAGGGGCGGCGCGGAGGGCGAGGCGCGGGCGAGCAGGGCGAGGGCCGACGAGGACCGTCCGGGGAAGGACTTTGTTGTTGTTGTTGCTGCTGCTGCTGTTGTTGTTGTTGTTGTTGTTGTTGTTGATGTTGTTGTTGCTGCTGCTGCTGCTGTTGTTGTTGTTGTTGCTGTTGGTGTTGTTGCTGTTGTTGTTGTTGTTGTTGTTGTTGTTGTTGTTGTTGTTGTTGTGTGTGTGTGTGTGTTTTTCCCCGCCTTCCCCAGTTGATTGGTGCAGGTTCTCGATGTGAGGCCTGGGAGGGGGCGCCCGGCGGCCGCGAGGAGTCCCAAGGGCTCTCGCAGGCACATCCGGGCAGCCTGGGGAAGGACTGGGCTGGGGTGGCCAGTGGGGTGAGACGAGGCAGACTGGCTGAACCGAGCAGTCCGAGGCTTCGTCCTCACACGAAGCCCATCCACCGTCGGAGCTGGCATTCCTTCGTGCTGCCTGGCCCCCTAACTCGATAACCCAATCGAGGTCATAAACAAGCAAACCATAGCATCTCAGCATGGAGGGCAACAAGGAAGAGGACGAGGGGCGGTGAATGCGCACGGGGACGGGCGGGAGGAGGACGGCGAGAAGGACAGGGAGGACCACAAGGACAAAGGATGCGAAAGGGAAGCAAGGGGGAGCGGAAGAGGCGTCGATGCACCGGGAGCAGGCGGCGCGGAGGAGGAGGAGGAGGAGGAGGAGGAGGAGGAGGAGGAGGAGGAGGAGGAGGAGGAGGAGGAGGAGGAGGAGGAGCGGAACGAGGGGGAGCAGGGGGGGCGGGTAGGGGGGGGGAGTTGGAGGGAGTGAAGCCGCCGCAGCAGAAAGCCACCCACCCCGACCGCTGATTTTCCCCAGCTCGCTGACCGGACGACAGCATGCTGAATGCGATCATAAAACTGCTTTGCTGTCGTGTGGGGTGGTCAGCATGCCCCCTGCGCCCGCACCGTAAACATATACCGTTTTGTCGGCAGCCGCGAGAGAGCACCGCGGCGATGGAAATCGGGAAGGCATGCACGTAAGAAGACCGTCGTAATCATCATCAACAGCATCATCAGCAGCATCATCAGCAGCATCAGCGTCATCGTCATCATCATCCCCACCATGAACATCATCATGATCGGCATCGGCATCGACTCGGCATCGACACCACCACCACCATCATCGGCATCACCAGCATAATCATCAGCATACTAGTCGTCAGCATCATCGTCATCACCACCACCACCACCATCATCATCATCATCATCGTCATCATGATCATCATCATCATCATCATCATCATCATCATCATCATCATCAACATCATCATCATCGTCAGTATCATCATAATCATCATAATCATCATCATCATCATCATCATCATCATCATCATCATCATCATCATCATCATCATCATCATCACCATCACCATCACCATCACCATTAGCATCATCATCACCGGCATCGTCATCATCGGTATCGTTAGCATCGCCATTATTCCCTCCTGGACGAACCGAGCGGCGCCCGGGCCTTTAGTGTCTACCTCCTTCTTCGCGCGGAACGCTCGTGCAAGCGTCATGCACTCGTGCTGGTTCAGGGGGATGCTCCTGTCAGCAAGGCACACACCAGAAACATGGCGACCAAATAGCAAGGCATAGCTGGCAGCTGGCGAGAAGATCAAATGTGGTATTAGAGGACAGCACGAACAGAGAGGAGTAGCATTAAGTCGGGCGTGTCCCCCTACAGGGGGATTCTGGGCGAAAAATCAAAAATACCCCAAACATACTCCAAAGTACTAAAAACATGTGGAAACTTAGTCCCTGGACTATTTTTTGACCATTTTTGAATATTCCCCTTGTAGAGGTCCCTGGACTATTTTTTGACCATTTTTGAACATTCCCCCTAGAGAGGGACAGGCCCGACTTAAGAGTAGCGGGAGCGGCAGGCAGGGGAAGGACACGACGAGTCCCTTCGAGCTTTCCGCTGGTGGGCTCCGGGAGTGCCGGCCCACACCCGCCTCACGGTTCCGAGGCAAGGGAACAGGAAACCGCCCCGGGCGGTTCTTCCAGTCCCCTGGGAGCCAAGCAAGAGCAACAGCAAAGGTAAAAGCAAGCGCGCGGTTCCCCCAGTTGCGCTCCCTGGGTGCCAAGCAAAAGCAACATCAGAGCACCCGCCTCACGGTTCAGAGGCAAGGGAACCGCATGCGATGCGCAAGCGGCAACCCTTGCTGAGCCGTTTTCGAAATTGCCCCAGTGGCCGACGGGGAGGACGAGGCCAGGCAGCCTCGACAGGACGCTGCACACAGTAGTTACCGCAGCTCCCGCAAAAAAAAATACTCACATGTACACGTCAAGAGCATGGAAATCATGACAGTGACCCGCAGGCGGGTGCAAAACGGAAGGACAACAAGGCGGGAACTCAGTGGAAGCAGGAGGGGGAGGGAACATAAGTAGGGGGAGGAGGAAACGGGGGAGGAGCGGGGGGAGGGGCAGGAGCAAAAGGAGAAGGAGGAAGAGGACGCGAAGGAGTAAATGATGGGGGATAAGAAGGAGGAGGATGAGGACGACGAAGGAAACAAGCAGAGCCAGCGGATCTCAGGAAGTCTCCGGAGATCCCAGGATGCCTCCGGAGGCCCTGAGAGGCCGCTGGGGGCCTCCGAATGCCCCCCAAAAGAGCACCTTCACGCAACAACGTAGGTATCCTCTTCCTCGTCAAGGCGGGGGTGCCATGATCGGGGAGACATACGGTAGAGAGAAACAATTAGTGAACACCCCCCCTGACCCCCAAACTCAAAGTTGGCACGCGCGGGGGAGACTGCGGTCGAGGTGCAACTCAACAGACCCACCGCCAACCTTGAACATTGGGGGGAGGGGGAGGCGTTCACAGATGAATGTGGCATGAGTGTTCGCTATTTTTTCCGAGGCCTGTAAGACTCGGGTACGGGGGACTCGGGTTGGCCTGACGGGGCCATCATAGAAATGACGAGACCCAATCTGAAATTTGACGCGAGCTACCGCTGCAAGCACCCCACGGAAACTGAACCGTCAGAATCCAGGACGCCTTCGTCGAAAGGCGTCGGCAAACCCGGGTTCCAGCGCACTCGAGTCCTGCGTGTTCCCCGACATCAGGAGGCGGGGGCCGAAACTCACAGCACGTGCGGTATCAACAGCCCTCCGCGCTGGGCCGATCGCGTCCGCGACCGCGGTGCGCCGGGCAGGTTGGCTCCGGGAGCGCCCTCCTGCACTGCGAGCCCTGCCGTGCCGAAGCCTGCGGCGCCCTGGAAGAGCAGGGCGTACACCCTGCAAAATGCTTAAGAAGTCATGGGTTAAGAAATTCATAGTCTCAGAACTTGAATAAAAACCCTACATTTCTATTAAAATATTAGGATTTACGTTGAAACATTAAGAATCATCGAGACTGTGGCCGAAAATTTAGGTTTTCTTAAGCATCGCCTAAGGTGTACTGCTCGCTCGTGCCGAGGCGTGGGCCAACGGGCCGAGGTCAAGCGCCACACAACCTCTCTAAGTTCGGTGGGGCGCAGAAGGGGCAATTGGGGGGGAGGGGGAAGGCTTCCGAGGAGGCTGCTGCTCAGAAGGCGCCGGCTTCACGCCTACGGAGAAGGCCCGCGCCTTCTCAGAAGCAGGGGCGCTTCTGAGAGGCCTCCCCCCCTCCCCCTTAACTACCCCCTTCTGCGCGTGGCCGAAGAGTGCCAGCTCAAGCGCACGCACGCCCCCCTGCTGCGGCGGCACCGCCAGGTGCGCCTCTCCTGGGGCACAGCGAGCGGCAGAGGAGCCGCGGAGCACCCCGCCCAGCCGAAGAGGTCTGTCGCCAGGCGACTCGTGTTCGGCCGCGCAATTCAGGGACGCTTCATCGCCAAGCTGGGCGCGCGGTTTCTCGCGGCTGTCGCCCAGAGGAATCCCGCGCCATGCAGGGCCCGAAGAGCCACTGCGAGCAGGACCCCGGAGGTCACCGCGCGACGCAACGAGGCCGGCAAGCGCCGCCCGCCCGCAATGACTGCTCGAGAGCAGGCAACAGACGGGGCAGGCAGGGCTCGAGGACGCGCCTGGCAGAATATCGAAAACCCACCCATCAGGACGACCGGCGCCTCTGGCGATCGGTCGTTCTGGCGGGTGGGCGATCGGTCACCCAGGACTACAAAGCCGTGGAGGGCGAGTCGCAGAGTGTAGGGGGAGGAGGAGGAGGAGGAGGAGGAGGAGGAGGAGGAGGAGGAGGAGGGAGGAGGAGGAGGAGGAGGAGGAGGAGGAGGAGAGGAGGAGGAGGAGGGAGGAGGAGGGAGGGGAGGAGGAGGAGGAGGAGGAGGGAGGAGGAGGAGGAGGAGGAGGAGGAGGGGGAGGGGAAGCGGGAGGAGGAGGAGGAGGAGGAAGAAGAGGAGGAGGAGGAGGAGGAGGAGGAGGAGGTATGATATTGGGTTGGGCGGACAAAAAGTCCACCTGCCGACACTGCGGCTCGCGAGCGGGAGAGGCGACGAGGAGCCCGAGGGCCTCACCAGACAGGTGCACCACAGCGACGGACCTCCCAGGAGGGGGGAACCGTGGCCAAGGCCCCACCACCCCCGCGGGGACGGAGACCCACGGGCAACCGAACGCGGCCACCAGGGCCACACCCAGGACCCCGCGGCACGAACCGAGGCAGCCCCCAGGCCGCCCCCAGAAAAAACTAGTTTTTCGAGCCGAGCCCAGCAACTACGCGTAGCTGCCGCCCACTCAGCCCTCGGATGGAGCTGCGGCCAGGAGCTTCAACGTGGCCATGCACGGCGCGAAGCTGTCCCGGTCCACCCCACCGAGCCCCATGGCATTCGCCCTCTGGTAGCGGGACTCGATCAGCGCCACCGTCGCCTCATCGAACCCCTGGACCTCCTGGGCCGCGGCGGACGGCACCTCGGAGCAGACCTCGACCTGAACCTCCGCCGCCCCGACAAGGGCCTCCAGCACCTCGCCCACCAGCACATCGGTGGCGAATCGCCACGGGGCCAGGCGGGCGGCGCGCGCGGCGACCACCCGCGAGTAGGCCTCCTGGTTGGCCTTGATCACGGAGCCAAGGCGCTGCTGCTTGCCGAGCTCCACCTCGCTCTCCGCGGCGCCCCCCTGCTTAGCGACCTCGACGGTGTGCGGCACCGTCGGCAGCCTCGGCGTCGTCCCGGCCTCCTCCGTCTCGGAGTCCCGATCCAAGCCGCTGTCGACCCCGTTCACGGGCTCCAACATGTCCTCCATCATCGCCTGGACCCGCATGGAGTCCGCCTCGATGGTGTCCTTGACCTCATCAAGGGTCCCTTCAGTCGGCGTCGTCCCGACCTGCTCCGACTCGGAGGCCCGATCGAAGCCTACGCCGTCGCTGTCGAACCCGCTCACGTGCTCCTGCGTGTCCACCACCATCGCCTGGAACCTCTCTGAGTCCGCCTTGATGGTGCCATAGCATGTCCTCCACCATCGCCTGGACCCGCTCGGAGTCCGCCTCGATGGTGCCGTTGACTTCATCCAGGGTCCCTTGAATCAGCGTCGGGAAGGCGGGGGCGGGGGGGAGCACGCCGCACTCCTGCGCATGCGCCACGTCCATGCCCTCGCCTGCCTCCTCGACCTCGGCGATCGGGAACCCACTCCCCAGGTCGTCCCCGATGTATTGCCCGCTGTCCGCCAAGCTGGTCTTGACGAACTCCCGGATCAACATCTCGCCCAGCGCGCGGGCGTGCAGCTCCAGGACCGCGACCCTTGCACGAAGAACCGCAAGAGGCCCCACGCTGGGCACGTCGACATGCCGAACGGCCGAGCTGCTCACAGCCCGGACATGGCTCCCCGCAGACGAGCCACTCTGAAGTGCGCCTGCGGAAGCTCTGCGGGCCCTTACCAGCCAGAGCCAGAACGGCTAGGAGGAGGAGGAAGAGGAGGAGGAAGAGGAGGAGGAGGAGGAGGAGTTACGGAGTTACGGATATTGCGACCGTGTCGGTTACTTAATAGAGACCCCAAACAGCAAACTTAAACGGGCTTGCCCGCAGCGGCCCGCTTGGCTCGCTCAGCTTTGCTATACTGTTTGGGCCATAAACCCTGTTGAATTCGATAAAGGTAGTCTTGACGACTACGCTTAGGCCCACACTCATTGGACAACTTCGCCAGCTGTTCTGCTGCAAAGCTTCCACAGGTCGTACAAAACCAAGCCCCCAGTCCAGCATGATATTTAAGACGGTGAGACGGGTGGGCGTATCCCCCTCCTACGTGCACCCGCTGCCCTGGAGGGGGTTCCCAAACTGCACCATCGCCCGTGGACAGGGGAAACACGGAGAGTCCAGCCAAGCCTTCTTCTGGGCCTGAGAGGTCGACCCCTTGCAACGATTATAACTAAGACCTGACACAGACAGTTGATGCTGAGAGCTGAACATACTACAGACCATTGGGGCACGGGGCCTAGGTCCAGGGTGCCTCAGACGGGGCCTCGAGCCCTCAGATTGTTGCTCAGCCTCAATCGCTTCTAACGTGCTCAAGAGAATTCTCATCCGAACTAAGTACGCCATGCGCTCAGTACGATACAGACGTGCACGCACGTCAGCCTTTACACGCACGGAGCTCGCTGCTACACCCGCTAACTCGTCGGCAACAGCATTTCCGATAATCAAAGGCACAGGGGTCCTACTCTGACACATATGTATTGCCTCCTGATGCGAGTGCACAAAGATGACTGTGACTGACAACTGGGTGCCACGGGCCTTCAGGACAGCTCCAATGAGAAACCACAGATCTGCATCTTCACCTGACGGGGTGGCGGAATGGCCATTATACCGGCCTGAGCATACAGCAGCGTTGTCCGTGACGAAGACGATGCTACCGCTGCCGCCGCGCACGGTGAGGTACAAGGCGTACAGCTCGCCTCTCGCCACCGTCTGAACTGTGCCTGGGAGGGCGCCCCAGACGCCGATCTCGATCATCATGTCGTGGGTCAGGTCAGAGAACACCGCCACTGCGAGTCCGACTCGTCGGAAAGCGGCATCACTAGTGTCCTTGCCCCCGCTGGCGTCGCCGAAGACAAAGGTAGGCACATCCTCTGACCCGCGCGGGAAACAAGCTTCGCCAAAGCCAGCGATGCCGTGACATGTCCAATCCTCCTCCTGGATCGGCTCGGGCACCTCCAGCCATGGCGTGGGAATCAGGCCGCGCACCCAGAAACAAGCCTCGGCCTCTCGACCCGCTTGCGCCTTGGCGGCGAACTCGTCGGAGCGGTCGTAGATCTCATGAGGCTTGCGACCTGCGCACTCCCATACTCGATGAGATGATGTCTCTTTGCATTCCTTACACCGCGTACACCATTCAGGAATGCTCTGCTTAGACCGCTGTTGTCGACGGGCTCGCGGCCAGGCCGCGCCAGCAGCAGAAGCCAACAAAAGGCCAGCCAGACGGCGACCGCCTGGGGCTGCCTCCGATTGGCGAAGCAGCTGACGGTAAGAAGCATTGTGGATACCCTGCTCCATCCCAGCTCCATCGAATGAGAAGAAGCTGCAAACCACAACTGCCTCTGAATCGTGCGCGTGAACTGCGAGAAAAACTGTTCTGGGATGCCGACACAACTGAAACCCGTGAGATTCTCAACCTTAAACTCCCAACGGATAATCAGACCATTGTTATCTGATGGTATCTGCCACTCCGACGGGCTGATTGGGTCCCATCCTGCCTCGAGCAAGTACGTGATGACTGTGCCTTGGGGGCCTCGGATGAAACGATGCCGTCGCTCAGGTGGCATGCTTCTGAGTTCCTGCGCCAAACGCTGCCGCGACCGATTGACTCCCGACCGAATGTGAGGGGCTGAGGTCCAGCATGACAACCATAAGCGCAAACACTCCGCTGGCATCTTGAAAGCTGGGTCGCGCTGAGGCGCGCGAAGGTCGAGCAAGGTAGTTACACGCCGCCCAGACAATCTCGGGGCAACTGCATTCGCAACTTTACGTCGTACTTGTAACATCTGCTGGCCGAGCAGCCCGTGAATTTGATGTCCATATGTGCCTGCAGCCTGGGCGCCCTGCTGCTCGAGGCGGTTCGTCAAGCCGTGCCGCCTCGTCGCTCGAGCGTACTGCCGAACCTTCTTACTCATCTTATTGTGCTTAACGATCCGAGCCGTTCGTGTCGCTCTGGCATGCCGCTTGCCGCCGCCCATGTCGCCGCCAAGGTAGGCCGTCTGACCCGCCGCGTTGATGTGGTAGCCTTTGAGCCGCAAGCGTCGTGCAATCACCTTGGCGTCGCACAGCCGAGTGCAGAGGACCACGCTCTTCGTGGAGACCTGCAAGCCGGCCGTCTGGATGGCCTCGCAAGTATCAGGTAAGCACTGCACCATCTTAGAAATCATAGCCCGTCGCGACGCTCGATAACTCTGGCTCAAATCATCGATCCACAGCCTGTGGGACATATCCACATGCACCGTCGTGATCTTTGCCATGATGTGGTACGTGACGCACTTGGCGAAACGCGTCCCAGCCCTGAGGCCCTGGGCGATCGACCTCGCGGGGTCGAAGGGGGCCGAGTACGCGCCCGACTGGCGCACGCAGCGCGAAGCCATGCACTGCAGCAGCTTCAGCCCCAGGACCTCCGCAGGGAAGTTGAGCCTGAGTGCCGTCTGACCGAGCATCAGCCACCCGATCGTGTCGTAAAAGCTGGCGAGGTCGATGAGGCCGTGCCCGTATCCGTGGACAGGCGCACCGCCAGCTCCTCGTCGATCGCGCGCAAGAAGACCTCGCGGATCGCCGAGTTGCCGCGTATAGCAGCATCCCAGTGCGCCTCGCACTGGTCCGTCCAAGTGCGGACGTGCTGCTCGCGGGCGGCTGACCAGAGCCGCGCCAGATGAGGAAGCAGCCCTATCACGCGGTCCCCCACTGAGCTTCTTGGGAAGCAGGGTCCCGATGGTCAGCAAAGGCTGGTGTGGCCAAACTTGCCGATCCTCACAGAGATTAAGAAGTGCGGCCAACTCATCAAGAGCTGAATCAGGAAGGCGAGACGTGTCTAACGGAGTCAGACGATCCACCCCCATCGCACCACATTTCATGTGACCAGACGCCCCCCCGCAGGGTAACACCATCAAGAGGTGGAAGCGCCTCATCTGCAACTCGCTGCCGAATCTCCTGAAAAAAGCCCGCGCAGCTCGCTCAACGGCTGGCCAGACGGGCCCCAAAGCGAGACCCAATGCTTCCGTTTATGATCCATAATGTCTTTGGGATGCACAACTGACTTACCATTCACCTCCAAAGTATCGCTGGCAAGAGGCTGCTCACGGATGGCCCTGTGCAAGGCGCTCACTGCAGGGGCTGTCTCAGCCCAGGTACGGAATCCGCCCATGGCCTGGCTAAGTGCGCGCCGCTGTGCTCGCCGTGCCACCTTACCAGCTGCCTCGGAGACTAACTTGAGCTCCTCCAGAGAGCTCTCACTTGTGCGACCAAGAAACTGCAGCCAGACACCCCAAGCAAAGCGATCGGAAGGTCGAGCCACCTGATGACCGCGCTCGGGGGCCTCCCCCCTAAGACGTGCCACTGCGTCAACCAGGAGGAACTGCTGCTTGTTGCCGAATCCTTGCCCCTGTAACGCGCCAGCGCGGTCAACGCGGTAGCCGCGCGAGTCCACCAGCTGGCAATCTTGTCCCTGAGGGCTACCTCCCTCGCTGGTTTCGCCTCGTGAACCTCTGTCTCGAGGAACTCGACAGCGTCGCCGCGCGATCTGCCGAGAGGGACCTGCCCGCGATGGAAGTGCACGGTGGCCTCCACGCCCTGAAACCAGGCCGCGAACAGGGCTGAGACGAGGCCTGAATCGCTAGAGCAGAGTCGAAAGGCTACGGAGGAAGCAACAGCAGGAGTAGGGGGAGAGGCAACAGCAAGGAGAAACCCCACAGCTTTCGGCTGTTCCGTCCACAACTGCTCTGGAATCAGAAAGCTCACGGATTCAGGCGAATCGGGGGATCCTGAACCCCCCCGCTGGTGGTGCAGAACCTGACTTGACAGGGGCGGTGCACGGGGCGGGGGTATCATGCTGGACCGAATTCGACTGAAACTGATCAACCACAGGAGAGGCAGGGGCGGTCGGGGCGGCCAGTCCGAAGTTGGCCTCGTGGATACACGGGTCCTCCTCGCTGCCGTCGGAGTCAGGGTCCCCACCGCCGAAACCTGTTTCCGCCTTGCTGCCTACTCTACTGGGGGAATCAGGCGAAATACAACTAGTGCGCTCCACTTTACTGCTGCTACAAAGCTCAAGCTACTCACTAAACCACTCACGCACTTTACAATCACGACGCTCACGTGCTACTTGCCGTGCAAGCCTACGCTGAGCCTTAGCCTTACTTGATTTAGACCCTGGAACCGGCTGCTTGGAGGGCCGACCTACAACTGGCAACTGCGTAGGGAGAGCAAACACACGCGTGAGCATCTGACGACCTGCGGCTGCTATCTGAATGCTGAGACCAATGCGCGGCCTCCAAGGAACGTCAACGACAGCCGAGACGGAGCGCAGATAGGGTCTCGCTGCTTCATTGAACACCACAAAGTCCATATGGGAAGATGTTTGCTTGCCGCCTGGTGCGCAAGTAAACTCGGCGTCGGACAACCACACAGAGCCGCCGACTCGCGCCAGAAAATCCGACCTCTTAAGGTCGGCGGAGGAAACATTCCAGCCAGCCAGAACTAGCCACGGCAGGTGGATTGCCGCCAGCATGCTGCCTAGCTTAGCGAAGCGGTTCACATTCTCATTGGTGAACCCCATGCCAGATAATCCGTAGTAGATGAACACGGCGAGCGTGAAGCCCTTCATGTCCAAAAGGCAAGGAAGAAAACCGTCTAGGACTCCTCCTCGCTCGGCTTGAAGTTGATTGCATGTGAAAGCGGCATCGAGCATGCGAACAGGCCGATGGTTGCGAGCAAGCAACCACTCGCCACCTTCATTGGAATGCTGCTGGTCACCTTTGGCATAGCGTGACTTGGGCCTAGCTCCATTGTGGAGCAGGCGCAGAGAAGAACTCTTAGGTTTGCCGATCCATTTGCGCGTATCTCTCTTGCTGACGTGCGTCTCACAGACGCCTAAGTAGTCGTGCGTGTCGCTGAGCTCCTTCAAGCGCCCCCAGGCCTTGTCGCCCATGCACGTCACGTTGTTGAAAAAATCTTAACAGTGGCTTCTGGCTGCTGCTGCGCACCCATACCACTGCCCCCTGAAAGTGAAAAAAGGGGTGCCGTACTGCTCGAGCCCTCAGGAACAGTCATAGCATCCCCTCCGCTTGTTGTGGCCGAGGATGTACTGGTAGCAAGCGCAACGGTAATGGCGTCCGAGCCCACAGCGGCGCTGGCACTGCTGGACTCCGCCGTCAATAGTCACTCCTTCCTGCCAGCCTCTGGGCCGCCAGGCAGGCCGGCTGTGGGCGTGGTCGCCGCGGGCTCGCCTCCGCCCGCGCCCTTGCCGTCGCCCTTGGCCTTGAGATCTGCCGCAGCCTGCGCTCTCTGGGCCGCCTCGAACTTGGCCTGGGAGAGCCTAGCAGCTTCCCTCTTGAGCTCCTCCGAAGTCGGCTCGTCGGCCTGGTCGGCTCCCGCAGCCACAGTCGCCGCAGGCTCTGCCGTCGCCGTTGCCGCCTCCTTGGTCTGAGTGACCGCATCCTGGCCCTCCTTCGTCTTCCTCTTCTTGCCCATGCGCTCCTCCACGTCCCTCTTGACCGAGTCCAGCTTGGCCACGAACGTCTGGAGCTCTGAGTCCTTCGCGGCAAAGGACTCCTGCATGGCCTGCAGCTACTTCTTCAAGTTGCGGAGGGCGACCTTGTCGGACTCCTCGCACTCCCAATCCTCGAACTTGTCGAAGACCTCTGGGTTCATGTGGACACTGAAGTGTACGCCCTTGCCTGACTGGTCCGCCGCCGCCTCAGCAGCAGACTTGACGCCCTCTGCTTGGGCAAGGGCACGCGTTGCACTCTTCTTATCAGCCTCTGCCTTGGCGAGGGCCAAAGCGGCCTCCTGCTCCTTGGACTCGGCGCTGTGGAGCTGGCGCCTGAGGCGAAGCACCTGGCTCACCAGCTGCTCATGCCGATGGCTCGCCAGTTTCCAGGCGCCGTCGGCGCGCTTCACCGAGTCCACGGCCGAGACGTCGGACGCCGCCGCCTGGTCCTTCAGCTTCGACCTCTGCTCGGCCAGGACGGCCTTCATCGCTGGATCGTCACTGTACTCAGCTGCCTTGGCCAACAACCCGTCGAGGTTCTTGACTGCCTGGTCCTTGGCGCGCCGACGGCCTGGGCTGCGGTGGCGCGAGCCCTGACCTGTCGAAGCCTGGTGGTCACTCCCGTGGTCGTCGATGAGCACCACGTCGCCGTCGAAGGAGACCCACCTGTCCACGGACGGGCCTCTCTGCTGGGACGAGTCGTAAAGCTTCACCTGCTTGCCACAAGACAGGCACTTCTTATTGTTAGCCATCAGCTTGGAATTGTACTCACAGCTCTTGCAGTGAATGCACCTGCTCCATGGGTACTTGGATGCGCCTCCCATCGGAAGGTTTCTCCTGTCTTAGTTGACGCCGCCTGCTGTGGGCACAGCAGGAGGCGAAATCCCCCAAGCACTGCGCGGAAGTGCAGGAGAGGCCGAAACACGTGCCCTGCGCGCGGGGGCGCGGGTGCGAGGAGGAGGAAGAGGGAGAGGGCGAGGAAGAGGAAGAGGAAGAGGAGGAGGAAGAGGAGGAGGAGGAGGAGGAGGAGGAGGGGGGGGAGGAGGAGGAGGAGGAGGAGGAGGAGGAGGAGGAGGAGGAGGAGGAGGAAGAGGAGGAGAGGGGGGGAGGAGGAGACGTCGTGTGCAAAAAGGCAACGCAGTGGAACTTCACAGGAGGGCGGGGATGCATCACCATCGCGCTGGGGGACAGGGCAGGAGTCCGCAAGGGGAGGCAGCGGCGTTGGCTCCTCTCGGCGGCGAATGCCAGCAGCCTCTGCTGGGTCACCTCCTCGCCCTCGCGGAGGAGATCCTCCCGCACGGCGCTGAGCTTCATGGCAACAGCACGCGAGTCCGCGACGGGGAAGCTGTCCGGGTCACTGGGGAGGGGTGGCACACGGCGGGGGCACTCATGGGACAAGGGAGGAGGAGGAGGAGGAGGAGGAGGAGGAGGAGGAGGAGGGTTGTTCCTCACTCGTCTCTTCTTCTACTTCTCTTATTATTATTCTTCATCTTATTATTTTTCTAATATTTCTATTATTATTCATCTTCCTCCTCTTTTTCCTCCTCCTCCCCCTCCGCCCGGTTCCAAGGCAGCCTCCGAGGGTCCCACTCGTTACCGCGGCGGGGATCGCATCAGAACGCGCTCCGTGACATATCCAAGGGCGATTTGAGAAGGCCGGATGGGATGGGAAAGAGAAAGAGAGAGGGAGAGGAAGGGGGGACGAGGAAGAGGCAGGGGAATGGAGAAGGGAAGGGAAGGGAAGGAGGGTGAGGGTAGGGGGAGGCAGGGGGAAAGAGGGGATGGGAGGGAGAAGCGAAAGGGTGGGGACGTTGTAGAGGCTTTTTGGTGGTCTGGGCTTGACCGGGGGAAACAACCTGTCGAACCCTCTCGGTACGGGCCGTTCCTGCGAAACGGAAACAGGCGGGACCTCCACGGCGGCAGCCAACGAAAACCAGCGACGCGACTTGTGCGGGGGGGGATCCCGCCCGTGTCGTTAGGGACCCTCCCAGCCTCGCACTCGATGATACGGTAAAGAAAGGGAAGCAATTAGTAGATATTCCTCCTCCCCAGAACTCAAAGTTGGCACGCGCGGAGGAC